AGTCTCACTCCCACTCCTTTTACTCCTTTCTCTGAAGGTAACCACTTTCATTAATTTCTGATTTATCTTTTTTTTTAACTAAGAGAAAAAAAATTTATACAAAACTATATTTTATTTCATCACCTTTTCTGACCAAAAAGGTAGCATACTAGGTATACTTTTTTGCATCTTGCCTTCTAAATAGCATATCATGAAATCACTATCAGTCCATATAGATCGTCTTTGCTCTTTTTATGGCTGCATAGTACTTCATCATGAATGTGTATCTTAGTTGATTGAACCAGTCTTCCATAATGGGCATTTAGGTTGCTTCCAAAAGTTTATTACCACAAATAATGCTACAGTGAATAACCTTGTGAATATGCTGCTCTGAATTGCGGGATGTGTGTTCTCAGGGTAAATTCCTAGAAGAGATGTCATGAGGTCAAAGATAAATGCCTCTGTAACTGTGTCATCTACTGCCAAATTTTCTTCTATATTGTTGTCTATTTTGTCTTGCCACCAGTAACAAATAAGAGTGTTTTCCTACAGTCTTGCTTTTACCATGTGCTGTAAGTTTTTGAATTTTTGCCAAAATAGGTGAGAAACGGTAAGGCACAGTATTTTAATTTGCATTTCCCATATAATGAATAAAGTTAAGCATCGTTTCTTATGCTCAAGGGCCATTTGTTTCACCTGATTTTAAAAACCTATATTTTTCTTCTTGATTTCCTGGCTGTAGTTACCTTTGATCAGGTAACTATGTACCTGTTATTTCCTACCTGGATTTTTGAAATAGTCTTCTAGCTGGTTACTCTGCCTACAGCCTTTCTCCTTTCAATGGTCCTGAACACAGTTAACATAGTTACCAAATTAATGTTATTAAAACACCTCTTTAAAACACTTCCTTTTTAAAGGAACCTTCAGTTATTTCCTAGCCACAGAATACTTTTAAACTTATTAGTCCAGAATTCAAGATACGATTTTCAGCCACTTCTCCAAACTTCTCTTTGCCTATTCCCTTATATTTACTTACTAGAGGCCCGGTGCACAAAATTCATGCACTCGGTGGGGTAGTGGGGGGGTCCCCCAGCCTGGTCTGTGCCCTCTCATAGTGCGGGAGCCCCGCTATCGATCGTCCCAAAGAGGTAGGCCACGCCCACCCATCTGGGGCTCATTGATGGATTGCCACAAAGAGGTAGGCCAGAGCTGGGGGTCCTGCCTCCGCGCCGAACTGCAGGACCCCCAGCCTTGCCATGCGGAGCCGCGGGACCTGCCTCTGCGCCGCGCATGCAGCACCAAGCCCCCGCCCACCCATGTGCGCCTCGCCACGCATGCATCCCCGCCCACCTGCATGCACCCACAGCGCACACAGCCTCCTGGTGATCACTCATTACGGTGTGAGGGCATCACGACCACATAGGCTTTTATTATATAGGATTCCTTCTGCAAAACTAGTACATTTAGTGTCCTAAAATCCATGACAGAAATTCTTTCCTCCAAACCTTTTTCCTGTTAGAGTTCAGGTCAGAAGCCCCTCTGTAGTGCAGCCCTGCCCTTTATCTGTCTAAATTGCAGGGATGCTCCCAGGCTTATCTCAAGAACCATCTTCTGGATGCCTTCCTTGACCACTTTGTGCCCAAGGGCTCTCTCCTTTGGAAATTCTGCTGGTACATATCTTTGTCCCCTTATTTAGCACTTAATTTTATGGCCTTTTTCTCTTTTCTTTTGCAATTACATAAAATTTGAAAATGTGTGTATATTTTTCCCCAAGAGTAGGGTCTATAGGTATTTTATTGAGCAAATGCTAATAAATTTTCATCACCTGCTTCTGAGCCAAGATAAGGGCACATTAGCCTCTGTTTTATTGACAAGATAATACAGTAGAGAGATTATACCATTTGATTAAATCATCATTGAGTCATTGGTCATGTGAGCATGGGTCCCAAGTCTCAGGTTGTAGTCAAATGTCATACTTATTACCACATTCCCTAAATTAAAAGAAAAAAGGATGCCTTAAAATATTAAGTAAAAATTATTCCATTTATCCTTTCTATTAATTAACATACATAATTTAGAAGACCTAGATTTATCTTAGTTAAAATTTCCATCCAAGATACTGATTAGAAAGACAAAGGATTTGGCATCAAATCCTCTTGGGACAAAATGGTATTATACAAAATGTTATTTGTTTGTTTTCAGCCTGATAAAATGCTCATAAACACATTTGATTAGAGAAAGCATCATATCTAAATCCTTGTGTATTCTAAGCCATGCATTTCTGCTTTCAACTCAATAAACATTTACACATTTATTGTGCATTTATTATATCATAGGCATGCTACTAGTTCTTGTGGGAACAGAATGTATAAGTTAAAGAGCATGTTCTCAGGTAGTTGTGTTTTTTAAAATCCTCACTCAAGGATATTTTTTCCATTGATTTTTAGAGAGAGTGGAAGGGAGGGAGGACAGGGGGAGAGAGAAAGAGAGAGAGAGAGAGTGAGAGAGACACGTCAATTGGTTGCCTTCTGCATGCGCCCTGATGGGGGCCAGGGATCAAACCTACAACCCAGGTACATGCCCTTGACCAGGAATTGAACCCAAGGTACTCGGGGCCAATGCTCTAACCACTGAGCTGCACCAGCGAGGGCATTCTCAGGTAATGTCTAGAAACTACCTATGTGTACATACCAAATATTACTGTAAAGAGTATTACTATTGGCCTACAAACAAAGAAAAGAGAACTCTACTGGAGAGATCAACAAAGGCTTCAGAAATAAGATGATAGCTGAGTTCAGCCAAGGCAACCCCAAAATCCATAAGGCCCAATATATACATTATAAAGTAAGAGAAATTTTAGAGTATAAAATGAGCAATTAGCAGTATTTAAAGTGTTCCAGTCATCTCTTCTGTAATCCCACTGCACTTTGTACTTCTTTCTATTCTGGCAGGTTGCCTTGCAAAGGGTTTGGCTCCAGGTGTGTCACTGTGATAGCCAGAGAGGACCTTACAGCAGGATCACAGCCACATTGACTTGGAAATCCCAGTGCAGGCACATAGTAGGCAATTAAAATTTTAGAAAGGAATGAATGAACTAAATATTTTAAGAGCACTTTGTGAAGTCAGTTGAACTTTCTAATTTTTACAAGTTGATTATTTTGGGTTTTGAGCCCCCAGATGGCTAGTGTGTGCTATAGAATTCGTTATCCAGTGGCTACGCTTTGGTCTCATCTTTAGCTGGGTCTGCTAAGGGTAGGGTGGGCACAATGCAGATCCCCAGTGATCATGGTTGCTACTGCTCCCACCTCTATGCCAAGGTCCTCACTGATCCTGAATGGGTCCACACATATTCATACATCTTTTAAACCTGAGAGTCAAAATCACAAAAAATCCATGTTTGAAAAATTTGACAGGCGCACATGCAGCTTATTGGGTGTGCGCGGGTGCGTGCATGCGTGCACACACACCCCTTTTATGATGCACAGAGATGCTAGCAAAGGACACATAACACACAGTAGCAAAGGTGCAAAAGAGGCCACAAAAATTAGCTGGGATGTGAAACCTAATCTGCAAATATGGTCTGAAATGGGAAAAAGGATAATCAGTATAGTCAAAACATTTATCCTTGCTCCCTGCAAGAACGATCACCTCTTACTACCTCACAAGAGACACTAGAATTTGCTTATCTTTTTAATTTTTGTACTTTTATTACTGAATTTTAGGTCTAATTTTGCTTCCAAGAAAATTAGCATTTCAGCCTTAACTCTCTGATCTAAATGTTACCCCCTTCTTAATTGTAACTCCATTATTATTTTTTATTTTCCAGTAATATATGCCCCATTTCATAGTGAAAGACAATGGGAGAATGGTATTCAAGTTCCTAAAACTTCTATTTTGTAGTTACAGACATTACAGAAAATACATCATTTCCATTTAAGTCAGAGAGAATTGGTGAGAGCCATCAGGTAAATTATAATTCATGTGTAATATTTAAGAATTAAGGAGACCCATTAGAGAAAGTCAATAAGAAACCCACTTAATGCTGGCACAGTCTGACCTCTTACAACTTCACGAGTGCTTCATGAAGCATTGGCTTCACTGGGCAGCTTATTAGAAATGCACATTCTAGGGCCCTACTTAGACCCATGAATCAGAATTTTCATTTTAACAAATTTCTCATAGTATTTTGTGTGCACATTAAAGTTTTAGAAGCATGATTTAATCAATCACAGGGTTATCATGGAAACTCCATGAAGAGAAGTTATTCCATCAATCTTTAATTTTGGTTGGGTTTTCTTTTAAAGATCCACAGACCCAAATGCTTATTAGTGTCAATATCTTGCCTAAATTTACATCACGATACATTCCTGGAGTTTAATGGCATCCCTGCTTTTCATTTTGCATCCAACGCAATGGTGCTCTGTGGTACAGACTGTCCCTACCTCTCTGTCCACAGGAGAACCAGGTGTGCATGGGGAGAATAGAGGAGCCAGTGATGTGAATTAGAGAATTATGTGGAAGACTGACAAGTGCTTTTAATTGTATGATGGGGATTTCAGCTCACTATCACTACATTGCTTTTTCTCAAAGGATTATCTTAGGCTTAAAGTCATTTTTGCAAAGAAACACCCTCTAAACTCCCAACAGGCTTCTGTGTTTCGCATACCAAGTGAGTGATTAGGCATATTACTTTGCTTGATTTTATTTCTCTCCCATCATTTTTCATTTTCAAATTAGTGATCTTGAGAAGCTAAGGAGAGGCTAGGTCCCAGGAACCTAGAAACATGGTTGCTACAGGTATCTCCTGCCAACTAGCCAACAACCAGAGGAAAAGATACCTGTCCTTTCCTAGACTTGAGTTTCAAGAAGACAAGTGACCTATCCATTGCATGGGAGTGAGCCCACTCAGTGGATATTGATGATGGCAACAATAGCGAGAGTCTCTGCTGAAGGAATGACAGGGTGTGTGGAAAAGGACACAACTATTTCAACTCTAGAATCAACAAAGGAAGATGACATACCCAAGCTGCATCCCAAACATCCTTCTTCGCAAGGCACGCATTCTCCAAGGTCTGGGTCTTGGACTTCACCTATACAGTGAGAAACAATTCATTTTCACTGGGTGGAGACACATCAGTTGCTATGAAAGTAATGTTGGTGTGTAGCTTATTTTCAAGCAAGTAATAGAGCAATTATGAAACCTAAAACCATCTTTAAGGATCTATGAGTCACCCATAATTTTATCTCTTTCATTAATTTACTTGATTAGATCACCTTGATTTGGTACAGATAGAAGAACAGAGTGGGACTATATGCCATGCAACTTGTATTGAAATTAAGCTGGTAGATTTTATTTGTTAAAGAAATAAGTTCTTCTGGGAATATGGAATTGGGCATATAAATAAACAGGCTCTCTCTTTCTCTCTGTTTATAATCCTCACTTGAGGATATGCTTTTATTGAGAGAGAGAGAGAGAGAGAGAGAGAGAGAGAGAGAGAAGAAGAAGAAGAAGAAGAAGAAGAAGGAGGAGG